TATATATATATATATATATATATATATATATATATATATATATATATATATATATATATATATATATATATATATATATATATATATATATATATATATATATATATATATATATATATATATATATATATATATATATATATATATATATATATATATTTTTTTTTTTTTTTTTTTTTTTTTTTTTAACAAAGCTGAAGAAAAAAATTCTTTACAACAGGTTAGGGGTAACCCACGTTTTGGTAAAACAAATCTTCTCACAAGAGGATTAAAGGTCTTTATAGACATTATCAACAATTTAACCACAACACAAAAACCCTATTAACAAGCAGTAGAAGGGACTTTTTTATTCATTTATGTAAAATGACTTTACAAGAAAACATAAATATGTATTTTAACACTCAGTTGTGATAGAATAGGAGTTATTTGAAAAATTCAGAACCACGGGAGAATCTTATTTTATTATATACAATTATAAATAATAATAATTTTCTATAATAAAAGCTCAGTTTTAATAAATGACTCAGTGGCTCATTTTAAAAAAAGACTTTTTTTTTATTAATTTATTCAATAATTCAATGGCAAATAATTTTTTTTACGTTTGTAATGTTTTTTTTTATTATTTGTCTAAAAACAAAGAGAGCAAGATTTTTATTGCTACCATAGACATTGTCTATGTCCAGAGCTATAAACAGTTCTTCCAGTATGTTTGTGCTATTTCAAATGTTTGTTTCATGGGAATAGTAAAACCCCCTGATGTATAAGGGACTAAGCCGAATGTAAATGAATGAAAGGAAATAGTGAACCTGTGTGGTTAAAATAAAATTTATCTACTTGTTCTACTTGTGAAAAAGGAAATAGACATGCACATCGCATGGTGTTTTATTCAGGATTGCAGTTTTTTTTTTTCATTTACATAAAATATTTGAATAACAAAACAAAAAAATATACACTCACTGGCCACTTTATTAGGTATACCTTACTTAGCGGGTTGGACCCCTTTTTGCCTTTAGAACTGCCACAATCTTTTGTTGCAGAGATTCACCAAGGAACTGGAAATATTCCTCAGAGATTTTTGTCCATCTTGATATGATGGCATCTCGCAGTTGCTGCAGATTTGTCTGCTGCACATCCATGATGCTAATCTTCCATTCCACCACATCCCAAAGGTGCTCCATTGGATTGAGACCTGGTGACTGTGAGGGCCATTTGAGTACAGTGAACTCATTGTCATGTTCAAGAAACACGCTTTATGGCACTTTATCCTGCTGGAAATAACCATCAGAAGATGGGTACATTGAGTCATAAAGGGATGGACATGATCAGCAACAATACTCACGTAGGCTGTGGTGTTGACACGATGCTCAATTGGTACTAATGGGCAGCCTAAACAATTGATACAAGGCAGGATGGATCCATGCTTTCATATTGTTTATGCCAAATTCTGATCCTACCATCTGAATGTCGCAGCAGAATTCAAGACTTACTGTATCAGACCAGGCAACATTTTTTCAATCTTTTATTGTCCAATTTTGGTGAGCCTGAATAAATGTTAGCCTTGGTTTCCTGTTCTTAGCTGACAGGAGTGGCACCTAGTGTGGTCTTCTGCTACTGTAGCCCATTCGCCTCAAGGTTAAACATGTTGTGCGATCAGAGATTCTCTTCTTCATTCTTGGTTGTAAGGAGTGGTTATTTGAGTTACTGTTGCCTTTCTATCAGCTCAAACTAGTCTGGCCATTCTCCTCTGGCATCAACAAGGCATTTGCAACCACAGAACTGCCACTCACTGGATATTTTCTCTTTTTCCGACAAATCTCTGTAAACCCTAGAGATAGTTGTGCGTGAAAATTGCAGTAGATCAGCAGTTTCTGAAATACTCAGACAGATACTCTGTCAACAACACACATGCCACATTCAAAGTCCCTTAAATCATCTCTCTTCCCCATTCTGGTGCTCAGTTTGAACTGCAGCAGATCATTTTGAAAATGTTCCATGCCTAAATGCATTTAGTTGCTGCCATGTAATTGGCTGGTTAGAAATATGTGTTAACAAGCAGTTGGACTGGTGTACCTAAAACGTGGCCGGTGAGTATATTTTAACAATAGGTGTCTGGATGCAGACTCGATGCAGTTGCAATCTGAGCTGCATGCAATGATTTTTAATGCCCACCCCTACCCCTACACCTCACAGTGGCGTCACTAGCTCCATTGAATGCATTGTGTCTGACATTGTCTCTCTAAGATATGCAATCTCAGCTTATAATCCATGTCTGCATCCAGATACTTTTAACCGTAGCACACAGTTTTAATAGTATAGGAGTTTATTTGGACGTTTTCTTCAACTCTGAGCTGAGTTTTACATGCAAGTCTTGACAACCTGTTGATTGAACATCGATATGGCACCTTCAGCTATTCGCAGAATTTGCGAGCTGACACGAGACATTGCGAAACCTCCTGTTTGCACTGAAGAGTGATGTTGTGTTACAGCCATAAGCTAAAAACCTGCGTTTGCATTTTTGTTGTATTTACATCTTGTTTTGGGTTACAGCTCTTGGCCTTCCTGCAGGGTCTGTTCACATTCTACCATGAGGGTTACGAACTGGCCCACGACTTCGAGCCCTACAAGCAACAGCTCCAGTTTAACCTGCAGAACGTAAGTGCACGTCTCCTGTGAGTCACCCAGCATCTCTTTCACATTTTCACTTAGCCTCTTTTGACCAGTAATGTGTGTTTTTTTTACTTCTGAAAATATTTGTAAAGCCACATTGATGTGAAAAGAAAAGGTTAAAGCTGGCACACATGAAAAAGTCTGAGCTTGGCTGTTAAAAAACGGTGAGCTTTGTGTGTGTTTTGCCCTCTGTTCTGTCGACTGCAGCCTGCTCTGTGTGTGTTTGATCAATATTAGTCTGTTATAAAGCAGTTCCTGCTGGTCGTCAGCATCTTTGAGGCTGGGTTTCATGACATTTGACCCTTTCGTTGCATCATTGTCACCAAAGAACTCAAAATTGAAGTGGTGTCAGAGAAATTCAGCTTGTTTAAAAGCAGAAAAAAGACCTAAATTGTGCACTGTGCCAACACTGCGGCATTTATTCAGTGTGTATACTGAATTAAGGCAGCTATGAAAGCTAGACATTAGCCTTTACTGTACTGTATGCATTACTTCAGGACCTTTAATATTGCAAGAGTGTACAGTGCAGTAATTCACATTTAATGTACAGTAGTCAATTGGCTGTGATTTCAGAACTCCAGAAAAGGCATTCGGCATAGAAATACACTGTAATTTAAGTAACTAAAGCAAAAAGCAACCATTTTAACCATAGAAGACAGGTCACCAGTATCTAAGAGCAAATTGTCTTGCCTTTTTTTCAAAGATAATTGCTTGGTGGTTGTTTTATAATATTTTTTGGCAAAGTGGTAATAACACATTTTATTTATTTGTTTTTTGATAAACATAAGGGATCGTTCACCCCAAAATTGAACGGTTTCATTCTTCTCTTGAACGCAAATGAAGATATTTTGAAGAAAACTGAAAACCTGGCTGTAACTATTGATTCCCATATAGGAAAAATATAATGGAAGTCAATGGTTACAGGTTTTCAGCATACTTCAAAATTATTTTGTGTTTAGTTTGAAACCAGTAAAGGTTGAGTAAATGATAGCAGAATTGTAATTTTTGGGTAAGCTCTTAAAATTGACTGCACTTGATTTGTAAAATGTATTGTTTATAAAATGAACTACATTTTTCAGATTTTTTTATATGTATCAATGTTTAAATATTTACACTTTATGTATAATACTTATTATTATATATTATTACTTATATATAATACTATATATATACTAATATTTTGTGCTTCTAAAATTCTTTTGTATATAAATATACGCTTGTATATATTGTGTAAAATATTGTAAATCACGTATAAAGTATTTGTTTATACAGTGCATCCGGAAAGTATTCATATCGCTTCACTTTTTACACATTTTTTATGTTACAGCCATATTCCAAAATTAATTAAATTAATTTATTTCTCTCAAAATTCTACACACAAAACCCCATAATGTCAATGTGACAAAAGACTTTTTGAAATTGTTGCAAATTTATAAAAAAAATAAAATAAAAACCTGAAAAAATCACATGTACACAAGTATTCACAGCCTTTGCTCAGTACTTTGTTGATGCACCTTTGGCAGCAATTACAGCCTCAAGTCTGTTTAAATATGATGCTACAAGCTTGGCACACCTGTCTTTGGGAATTTCTGCCCATTCCTCTTTGCAGTACCTCTCAAGCTCTATCAGGTTGGATGGGAAGCGATGATGTGCAGCTATTTTCAGATCTCTCCAAAGATGTTCAATAGGATTTAGGTCTGGGCTCTGGCTGGGCCACTCAAGGACATTTACAGAGTTGTTGTGAAACCACTCCATTGATATTTTGGTGGTGTGCTTTGGATCATTGTTCATTCAAGAAGTCTCTGTACATCGCTGCATTCATCTTTCCCTTCATCCTGACTAGTTTTCCAGTTCCTGCTGCTGAAAAACATCCCACAGCATGATGCTGCCACCACCATGCTTCACTGTAGGCATGGTATTAGCCTGGTGATCAGCGGTGCCTGGTTTTCTCCAAACGTAACACCTGGCATTCACTCTAAAGAGTTCAATTTTAGTCTCATCAGACCAGAGAATTTTGTTTCTTATGGTCTGAGAGTCCTTCAGATGCCTTTTGGTAAATTCCAGGCGAGGAGTGGCTTCCGTCTGGCCACTCTACCATACAGGCCTGATTGGTGGATTGCTGCACAGATGGTTGTCCTTCTGTAAGGTTTTCCTCTTTCCACAGTAGAACGCTGGTGCTCAGACGGAGTGACCATCGGGTTATTGATCACCTCCCTGACTAAGGCCCTTCTCCCCCGATCACTCAGCTTAGATGGCGGGCCAGCTATAGGAAGAGTCCTGGCTGTTCTAAACATCTTCCACTAACAGATGATGGAGGCCACTGTGCTCATTGGAACTTTCAGAGCAGCAGAAATTTTTTTGTAACCTTCCCCAGCCTTGTGCCTCGAGACAATCCAGTATTTAGATATATAAATATATATCTTTAGTTTTTTATCTATAGATATGTATGTGTGTATATATATATATATATATACATACATACATACATACATACATACATACATACATAAATATATATATATATATATATATATATATATATATATATATATACATTATATATGTATGTATATATATATATATATATATATATATATATATATATATATATATATATATATATATATATATATATATATATATATATATATATATATATATATGTATATATATATATATATAT